TTTTTTTTTTTGGGGGGGGGGGGCGGACGTCGTTTGAGGCCCCTGCAGCCGTGAAGGCGATGTCCCGAACGGCTTGATCGTGCCCCAAGTAGCTTCGAAGGCACCTGAACCGAAGACAAAGGGAATCCATTTAAATTGGTTCGGCTTGTGCTCGTGGCTCTGTTCGGCTCTGAGCAAAGGGGCTTCCGCTGGTTGTGGTAGTCCCAGATCATGATCTTAGCATCCATGCCAGCTGACAGGAGAAGATGCGCGGTCTTCGGGAACCTGAGTTCGCATCCACTCGTCACAGCGCATCACGTCATTCACTGAGACAGCGGCCACCGGATCTTCTGCACGCCCATGGTGTGTCCGGTCCTGGGGAGTTGCTGCCGGTAATACGCTGACCCGCCCTTCCATCCTAGCATCCCTGCTTCGTCTTAGCGAATTGCAGGTAGGAGCTTGAGCGAAGGAGGACCCTGTGGTTCCAAGGCAGGCACCAAGTGTGTACCCACTTCTTGGGCAGGAAGCACCTGGATGTGCAAAATTGGGATGGCATGCGCAAGTCCAGATTTCCGTTCACCACGGGCATCAACCCTGCTGGGCTGCACAACTAAGGTTCCAACTGCTTGTCATCAACATCTTTGGTGATGTTGGTCTGGGCAGGTAGTTCGTGCCACGGAAGCATGCAAAATGACCGGTAATGATTGCTTCCGGCACTTCATGCGCACCTTGTTCTCAATCCAAGAGCGGCCGGCATAGTCTTTCTCCTGCCATTTGGATACAAGCCGCTGCTTCCGCGAGTCTTGACAAAGGGACGCAGGAAGAAGAGGGCAAAAAAGGGCCTATATAGAGCCTAGAGGGTCTGGGCCTGCGCCAAACCGGAGACAACAAAGGCATCGCCGTCGTCGCGAGACTCTGAGCCTGGCCTTGTTGCCATGGAAGACGGAAGTGATCCGTTCCTTCGTTTCCCTCTCTTCACCTGACAGCTTTGAGCCAGCGACTTGGAGGGCTACTCTACTGGGCACAGGCCTTCAACGGCTCTCTCCTCCTCTGCTCTCCTGGCAACCTCCTCTTCTCTCGCCTGTCAATGTACAGCTTTCTTCCTTCTGTGCCAGCACACGAAAGCCAAGACACAAATGCCCAATCGCCTTCACTTCGACTTCCAACTGCTTTCTGACAACATCGCTATCGATGAAGCCGCCCCACCTGCAGCTCATAAATTTATGATGGAAACAAAGCCGAAGGTGCCGCTGGGATGGTGACTTGGCGGATTCAGCGTGCCCCTGTCACATGTCTGCAGTGTGCGAAGAGCTGCAAATGCACCCTCATGTTCCCCGCCTTACCGGGCCTATCGTCGTCCTCAGGTAAGAAACTTGAACAATGCGATTCTGCGAAAAGTCTCCGCTCTAAGCTCAGCACCGGCATGTCCGGGCCTTCCAAACGTTGCCTGCGGCTCATCTGACAAAGCCGCTGGCCATGCAAGGTGCAGCTTGTTTTTTTTCTCTCTCTCTCTTCTTCCACACAGCCAGAAGAGGAGCACGGACGCACTCTCTCTCTCTCTCTCTCTCTGTCTCTCTGTCTCTCTCTCTCTCTCCAATCTCGGCCTTTTGCGGGGCTTGTCCCAAATACCACGACCTTCTTGGAAGTCGGCTTCAGTGCTGACCTGTTGCCGAGTTGCGTCAAAGAGCCACAGCTCCAGCAGTTTCCATAAACATGCCATCGGCACCACCATTTCTTCCCCCTCTGGAATGTTCTTGCAAGGGTTTGCAGCGTACCCGAAGTTGTGGAAGGTGAGATACCTGAACTTGTGAATGCCTGCTCTGTAGTCTCTGCCGCCAGCAATCATGCAACCAAGTGCTGGCAAGGTTAAGGCTTAGGTGTCTTGAGGCCCCAGAGGACAATGACCGGGAAGGCACAGCAAACAGGAAGAAGAGTCTGGGCTCCTTGCTGCTGATCGAAGGCAAACTTGCCTCGGCATCAAGAAAATCGCAGGACAGCAGCAGCTATCGACTAAAGAACTAAAGATTCCTTCTTTCCAGGCCGGATGCTCATTGCTGCCTTCTCGACTCGGCCCATCTTGTGATTGTTGAAGTCTTGCTCGAGGCTACACCTCTAAAACTGCGGGGTCATCTCTTTCTCTGAAAGACCTGACCCCAGGCCTTCCCTCCTCGAGTGGCCCTTGCAGAGGCTTGCTCAACGCCTAGCAGAGTAATGACTGAAAAACCATCGAGCACTCATGCCACACTTGCTTGGGGTGCCACTGTTATGGTTGGATTCGTCAGGATCCGCTTGTCGGCGGTATTGTAGGCCCACTCCGTGACCTATACAGCGAGCAGGGGCACGAGGAAAGCCACCACAGGATCGCCTGTCGTATCTCAACATGCACTGGCAAGTGCGCGGGCTACTGATACACTAGTAACACTTTAACGAAATTGCACATGTGGTGGACTGAAGCAAAGAACACTTTCAACTAAATGAAAGTGCAAAAAACACTTTCAACTAAATCAAAAAACAACTCCCAGCAGAAAGCGAACGCTGAAAGCATTCACGGATCTGCAAATAAGTTTCACGGGCTGGGACCAAGAAGATTGCCCGAGAAAATGTGGTCTGGCTTGTAAATCACCAGCCGGAGCTGGAGCCTACACCAGAGTTACATGGTCCTACACGCAGCGACCTTCGTTCCTGCTCTGCTGCACTGCCAGTGAAATTAGAGGACCCCCCCCCGCCCTTTTTCCGGGCCCTCCGCACTCAGCATTTTTGTGGCCCTCCCGTGGACCCTCNNCCCCCCCCCCCCCCCCCCCCAGAGGCTGTAGAGGCCGGGCCAGAGCATCGAAAGCTCCCTTGCACCAGGGTCCTCACTGCGCCCAAGGCGAGGGTGTCGACGTCAGGCGCTGCATCCACAGAAGGCCTGGATCACCCAAGGACTAGCCGAGACGAGAAGGTATGAGGAAGGCTTACAATCCCGCGAAAGATGTGAGTCTGAGGTCCCGGCAGCAGTGCAAGATCAACCTCAGGACTCAGACTCAGATATTACCGGACCTTCAGCATAAGGCTCTGGGCACCAGACACCAGCAATGGGCTTCCGCGAGACTGCCTTCGGAGCCGCTCCGGTTGGCCTGGGCTATAAGCGGCTTTTGCTGGAAGATGTCTTTCCCGCCCGCCCACAGGCTACGTGGTCTCTGCCCTCAGAACAGCGCAGCACGCCGGCGGCCTTGGCCTTCGCTATGGCCTCCTGCACTTCAGTTGAGGAAGCATGATGAGTGAGGGAAGATGATGGAAGCATCTGACATGTGGATCACGCCGATCCTCCCCCTCGCTGTCGCTGTACTGCGCGAGGAGGTCCATGCGTATCACCTCCAATCGATGCGTTGCCCAGCAACTGTCTTTTGCAAGCGCAGTTCAGTGCGCAAGACACGGTAATTTTGTGTTGCCTGCCCCCGTGGCAGGCCCTTGGCAGTGCTGACAGCAGGGGAAGTCGAAACGAGGAAGCCTACTAGATATGACAAATTAATGCCAAGGATGCCACCGCAGGCCAGGCCCCCTAGACCGCGGCTGCTTGAGCAGGTAGCATGGATTTGAGCTGCTGAACGCTGCGGAACATGAAGGCTTTTAGAGATCTTTGAGCAGCAAGGCCCTAACTTCCTGTGCGAGTACGAGCGCTCCTGAGGCCCGCTTTGTCAGGGCTGAGCACTGGCCCAAGCCTTGTCAGTTCCACATGTAGCCAGCTCGGGAGCAGGGTTGTGCAGGCGAGTGGCAACGGTGCAAGCGAGTTCGGCTTGTCAGCAGTCTGGCAACAGTTGCAAAATGATGCACGAAGTCGGTCTGTTTGATATACGCCAACAGTCACAAGGGTCAACACCATTGCCTTCTGCTTCACGTACAGGCTGAGATTATTCCGCTGCTCCTCGGTCAGGATGCTGACCTCCTGAGAAATGCGAGCCATGGCCCGAGACATCCTGTCGAGAGCGCTCAACCGCGCCTCGGGCATCGCTGCAGGCTGTGATGGACCTGCGCCGCCTGCGCCTGTGAACACACCTGCAGCCTGGCAAGGCGTCTGCCGGGTCTGCTGAGCTCACAAGCTGCCAAGTGCTCTGCCCACTGCCGCCTCGAAGACGCGGTCCGGCTCGGCGTCTTTAGTCAGTCGCCGTCTCTTTTCTGCAACCTCTTAGATGGACCCGTCGACGCACAGCAGTGAAGGATTCAAAGCGACGCTGCCTCCGAGCCCCACAGAATACCTTCACACCTCAGGTTCTGGCCGACAAGCACTGCCATGGGGCAAGGATGCAAGGTTTCCATGCTGTGGGCACGGCATGGCACGGCCAATGCTTCGTGGATCCCGGCAGATAGCCGCTAGCCCCAACGGTCCCTCCCTCGACACTCCCGCCCGCCACTGACCACGGCTCAAAGAACCGAAGGTTGCTGGATGACGAGACGAACTATACCGAGGCAGCGACAATGTCTTGCACATGTCTGTGAAGGTGGTTGTAAAGTTAGGCCTGAGAGCGACTTGATCAATACATCACATCGCCAGGTTCTTCCCGAAGAGACTGAAGCATGCACAGGTGGGGCGAGTAGTGTGGGAGCATCAGGTGGTAGTCGAGATCTCCCTTGCGGGTGATTTTGTCCCGATCGTTCATGTACCTTATCTCTCAAGCTGGATTTGCGGGACAGCTCCCATGCAACCCTCGAAACCAAGCTCTGCACCCTCTGTAGGTCTCTTTGGGGATCTCCGGCAGCTCCTAAGATGTGGTGGTGATGGCGGCCGTGGTCGTGCGGTGTCACGCGGTGGGTGTCGGCGTCGTTGCTGCTGCTGCTGCAGCTGCTGCACGCGATGTCCATCTGAGTGGTACTGAGTATGATACAGTATGATGATGACGACGGCCATGATGACGATGATGACGATGATGATGATGATGATGATGGTATTGTTGCTGGTGCTGCGATGTGGTGTGTCTCCAGTGATGGCCGTGATGCCGATCGTCGGGCTGCGACACCTGTGCTGCTGCTGCTGCTGCTGATCATGAGGATGATGATGGCCACGTTGACGATGGTGATTCTCAGGATGGCGTGTTCGATATCTTGTCGGAAGATGCTGGGGCTCAAGGTGGCTGGCACATGTTGCAGCAATTCCGGTTCACCAAACATGTCACCGAATATGCTCCAGTGTTCTGTCCAAGAGACGTCTGCAACGAACTGCGTGCGCCGCTTCTTCCGTACCTGGCGTTGCAGCGGCAGTCAGAGCGGGGGATTCAACGTCACCTAGACAAGCGCGACAAAGCGACTGAACCATCGCCGTCCGTGGGCCTCCGCAAAAATGAGAAGCGAGCAAACTTGAGTTTGTGCGCAAGTCAGAGCTTCAGCTAAGTTAGAGTGCCTCTCGAAAGGTGCCAGAGTCCCTTCGAAGTAGGCATGAGACACCGGCATGGCCTGAATGGTCCGGAGCCCGAGTGCAAGTGAAAGGAACATCAACCGAAAGAGACAAAGAGATAGTATGCGAGAGAGAGAGACCAGAACCTACCGAGGCAGTAGGCAACGCTCACAAACGTGCGGGACATTACGGGACCAAGGACCTGACGTCTCCAGCAAATCCGCCGTATCCGCCATCCCCGGCATCCCCAGCCACTGCCAGTGAGTCGGGCGCCTGTCGTTCACGAACTCAGAGACGGCAGTTTGTAGCACTCAACATGCAGAAGCGCAGATTTAGCAGGCCTGATCCAGCAAGGTTTGAATTTCTTCCCGCCTGAACTGCACAGAGTGCATCTACGAACTTTGGACTCGGCCGCTTGGATGTCGGGGGTCAACGAACCGTCGATGTCGCAGAGGCGAAATTGCCAAGCGCCCCGCCGTTGAGCTTGAAAAAAGCCAAGCACAGCTTGCTGCTCCTGGCGCTCTATGTCTCTGGACATTCCCGCGATGATTCCAGACATGGAGTGCATCCTCTTCACCCAGCATGATCAGTTGCCTTGCCTGGGTCGCGTATGGCTGCGAATCCAGCCATCTCTCTTGCTGAGGCCCGCTCCACTGCCAGATTTGACAACGGCACGAGCTGCACTGCCGCCTGTATGCAACTGTGCTCGGACAAGACATCACATAGCTGGTCCCGACTTCAGCAGTGCTCGGTCTGTCCATCGCTTGCTACTAGTGACCCTCTTTTCATCCTTCCCCTCGGGGGAAGCCTCGTGACCAATGCAAAATCTGTGGACTCTTCGGCTAAAGTCGACCCACCTGCCCGGCCACTTGGTTGAGGTCGTCGATATCGATGACCTCTTCCTGGAAGACAAATCCCACACGCCCACACATTTGGTTGATGTACGGTATGCAAGCAAGACTAGTGCAGTCGCTGGTGGAGCTTTCCTGTGCATACGGCACTGGTGATGTTGATGTTTCGGCCGCAGCAGCAGGAGCAGCAGGAGCCTGTCGCAACAGTTGCCCGGATAACAACAACTCGTAGAACAAGCTGATGCCAACTCAACCACGAGCTGTATTTGAAAAGTGCAGGAGTGCTGAGGTGCTGCACGAGCTGTTTATGTTTGTCTGCGTTTCACGCAATGATTCGAGCCAGCATGGCCTCATCTTCAAGGGCAAGCTCCATGTCCAAAGGCATAACGTCTTCACCTGAACGCTGGCTGCCACTTGCCCGATGAGGACAAGTTTTGAAGTCGTGCTTGGCCAGCCCGGTTGCTAGATCTACCTTGTTTGAGACATCCACTTTTCAGCTCCAATGCGATGAAAGAGGCGGGTAGTGGACGTGTTCCACAGGACGGAGACGGAACGTTTGGCACCCACGAGCGCAGGCAGGCGCAGCAGGTGCCATTCCCTGTACAGTACATCCGCTCATTCCGAAGGCCTCGAGTCCGTCGCGCACACGGTCGCACTGCAGCAGTGCAGTGGTGTGAGGCCCAAGAGCTGCAAGCCGTTGCAAGCTTCACTCCAGACTGTCCAAACCCAAGTCGCCGACCTTCGACAGGTTTCTGAAATCTTGACTGGCTCAACAGCCATTCCTGAGCTGCCGGCCTCCTTGCGACTGGGAGGAGGTATGTGCTCCTTCTTCATGGTGTCCTCTGTTCGAGATGTTCTGCACACTCTCTTTACTTCCACATCCAACATGCTATTCAAGCACATGCATAGCATGAGTGGTATCGACAGTCCTTTGAAATCTTTTCAAGCGCGGCTTCTTTCGATGACAGAAACAACAGCATCCCTTTCTTGACATACACCTTACAGCCAGTAACCATGAGCTGAGCTTTGCATCCAACGTACAGAAACCTGCCGGCAAAACCTTGCGACCCGTCTTCAGATTCTCCAGCTCGTACTTGGCGACATCTGCGGATGCCTCAGCAAGATCGCAGGTGCTCCTGGATGCTCCTGGCATGGCAGTAACGGCATCGCTCTTGGAAACTCGCGTTGCGACTGGCCGGAGTGACATCCTCAGCGTGAGTGCGATCACAGACCCACGGCCAAACAGGGAAAGCTTGGCGTCACGCTTCTATGAGTCGCGGCTGCGCTGACGAAGGGTGGAAGCTCCGTGGCTCCGTCGGTGTGTGCATGCGAGGAGATGTATTTCTTGATTTTCCAGACACCGTTGTTGTTCTGTTGCTGCCGTATGTAGTACCTAGATCTAGAATCTAGACAGCATGTTAGGTACTGCAATTCGCCTTCGAAGAGCCGCGAGCAAGGCATTGCAGCATTCTGCAGCATTACAGTAGCTGTGCGAAGCGGCACAACCACAAAGCCAGCCTACGGCAGGCTCTTCCGGTTCAGCGGCGGCCTCCCAGCAGACGTCCGGTCACGGACTGAGCTCAGGATTCCAGGCCGCGCCTTCGGCTGATCTGAAAGCGCCACCAGCGGAAGGGTGTCGAAGTCGTGGTCTTAGCCGGACTACCACAGGCCGAGACAGGCTGCAGCAGCTGCAGCTGCAGGAACTGCGAGACCACCCCGGGCCGCCGACGCTCGCCTGTCGCCGCCGACTCGAGCTCCTCTCTGACTCTGCCATCTCTCTTTGCCACTGCCATGCTGCGAAGCCCCATCGCGGTCCTCGAAGGCACCCTTCGGAACAACTTTTCTGCGAACCGCCCGCATGACTTCCTTGCACCGCCACAGAGCCGCGCATGCCGCGCAGGGCGTTGCAGCACAAACCCTGTCCTGGAGCTCTGTTTGGGAGAGCGCACCAAAGAGATCATCACTGGCCACGATGGACCTAAGCAAACTTTTTTTGAATCGTGAAACCACAGCTACCCACTTCCAAAGCACAGCGAAATTACACAAAGACAGACAGACAGACAGACAGAATGCAGCAAATACGACTCCTACACTACACCCACACCGACACCCCCACCCCCACCCACCCACCCACCCACCCACACACGCATACACAGACACAGATACAGACACAGACACACACACACACACAGACACACACACACACTCAAAAACACACACACACACACAGACACAGAGACACACACACACACACAAACACACACACACACACCCACACAGACAGAGACACACACACACAGAGACACACACACGCACACACACACTCAAACACACACTGAAACACACACACACACACGCACGCACACACACACACACACTCAAACACACACACGCACACACACACA